GTACAATGGGTGAATTGTAGATGTTATATATGAATTGACAGAGGTCAAATTGAGACTGAAGATCTTTGTGAAGTAAGAAATGACAGGTGTTTTGTCCTTGAAGTAGTCTCAGTAGTGTCTTTTGCAGGCTTCCTGTGGAGGTTACATTGGGCTTGCTTTTCAAGTAGGGGAGCAAGGGGAGGAGGTGGTTAACCATGAGCTAATAAGGAGATATCAAAAGAACCTTAGCATTTTCCAAACAAAAAAGCTTTATTAGTGGTCACCTCAGTGAGTGTTCTACATACCAAAACTGCAGATAGTCTGAAAAGTGCATAGTACTTGCACTTGGGGGGGGGGGAAGACTTCCAGGTTGAACTTCATGTGAAAAATGAAGGGTTTTGAAAATATTGGAGTGAGTTACCCTGACAAGCTCTGATAAATGCAATAATGGCTTCAGAACAGAGAGGCCAGCTCAATCCTTGTTCAATTCCAAGTCTTTGATTGAACAAGGGTTTTTCAACAGCTTTTATTTGAGAATATTTCTGGAGAACTAAGTCTCAAACCAAGGCACTTGGACTCAACAAGCATGTAACAAGGAAAGAAACTTGTATTTCAAGGCTGTTTCTGGAATAATGTTTTCAAAGATTTTTTGCTGTGTTCAAATGGGGTTTGAATTTGACAGCACAATTCTAGTCAGCTTATTTAAATTTCACTTGGAAAACTTTTAGTGGTTTTAAGCACATTTTGGAGCCTTTTTAGGATGTCGTGTTGCTTAGGGTTGTTTTTTTCTTTTCCTGTCTGCTGATGCACACAGCATCTTCTGTGTTGCTTAAAAAAATTAGTATAAACACATCTTTGTGTGTATGTAGAAACATCCTACTCAGTTGCGCTGTGCGTGGTTTTTATATAAAGGCTATAGATGCTGACTCTATGAAGTCTGGCTTTAAGCAGACCACAACAGTAAGGTCTGATTGCAGTGGAGGCATGGAACTACAGTCTGGCAAATGATTAAGAGAACTAGTTAGAGGTGTGCAGACGTACTATACTGGCTCTGTTACATTTGATAATTGCTTATGCAAAAAGGAATCTGCATTAACAGATAACTTAATGGTTTAAGCATTCACAGCCAAAAATGTTCTGAATAAGATTTTATAAAGTATAAGCTTTTTTATAACATTTATATCATATTCTTTTCTGCAGCCTCTGCTCAATTGTTCTATTTCAAATCCTTCACTGTTACAAAAGATAGTGTTTTACAGCATTGTCATCTGAAGCAGATACCATAGATCCATCAGATACGGCTAGTGATTCAGAAGAAGTCTTCAGTCTGCAAGTCCCTAATAAAATTTAAAGCTTAGCAGAAGTTAAAATTCAGCTGAAGATTTCTTGCTGTGTTTAAAGTTGTCAAAAAAATAAATCTAAATTCAGTTTCTTTCCCTGGTTTGTGTTTTATGCAATAAAGCTAGGCTAAGACAACAGTCTCCATTAGAGTTAAGCAAATAAGGAACAATGGAATTAAGCTAAATAATCCAGTAAAGGATATTAAGGTATAAAGGTTATTTCACTAAAATAGACTCTACCAATTCCTTCAAGCCTAAAAACCAAAAACCTGCCACTCCACAATAATTTGCTTTATGCTGTTCAGTTCTTGGTGTCATTGAATGGATGCTATTTTACCCCTGTGCCTTCCACATAAATATACAGTAGGCATAAATTGCCAAACAGTTGGATTTGAATTTCTGTAGGCAGTTGTTGCATAAATACGCAAAGGGAGTTGGAATGATGGCTGAAATATTACATGCTGGCAACAGTGCAGGCCAGTGCAGGGAAAGCATGGTAACGTAGGACACAAACCTGGGTAACTGTGCAGAAGAGAGAGAAGGCACAGAAGGTAAAGAGTGGCTGCTCATGTTATTGTGAAGTGAAAATGCACTGCTGTCAATTCATGAAGTCTATACGGTAAAAACAGCCGGCTTCAAAATAATCTAGAATAAGGTTATCTGATAAATTGGAATTTTAGGTGTCCAGGTTAGCTTGTCAAATAGCAGTTCAGATGTAGCCTCAGGAAGAGCAATTCAGTGTAGACAGATGTGCTTTTGGGGGTATGTATGGAACAAGCCAGTGCCCATAAATTGAGACTTGCCATTTTCCTTTGTAAATGCTGCACGAATTCTGGTCTTCTGTGTCATTTAGAAGCAAGCACTCATTCCTCCGCAGGGGTGGTTCAAAGATGCCAGCTATTTTTGTGTTGCATGGGTGACACATGGGGTTTTTAATATGCATTGGTTGTGGAGGGAAAGAGTTTAGCTTCCAGGTGAGCAGCAGTAACTGCTGTAACTGTTCAGAGCAGCTGTCTGTCTTGATTAGGTTAGAAGAGGTGACAAATGTCATCTTTACAGTGATGGGTGCCAAAAATGAAACAGTGAATTTGATAGGACAGTTCTGTGTAAAGTAGTATTTTTTATTTTTTTTTTAAAGGGTGTTTGTTCAGAATAGCTTGGTTTGGTTTGTTTTTTTTTTCCTGTCCACTGCAAATGCTGATGAGAATTCAGTACCTTCTTCAAACAGCGAAGAGTTTTAGTTTGTGAGGGGAGGAAGCTTCATCAGGAGACAGTGTTGATATGAACGTGTCGGTTTAGCTGTTAACTGAATCTGAGGTTGTACCTGATTGCCTGTGGGAGAGTAGGCTACTCCTTAAATGACTGCTGTTGAGACTGAAGCTCTGTACTTCAGGATCCTTAGCTTTGCAAATCATCTAGGTAATTTTGTCTTTTGTCTCAACTTTGTTCATCTTTGTATTAACCATACATTGTCCCATTGCGGAGTTCCATGCTTCTATGTCTATCTCTGTGAGAAGTTTGTTAAAGTCTTGCACATCTTAAGTGCATCTGTCTGGTCTAATTAACGTGTGCCTTAAGTACAAATTTTATCTTTTGTCTGTTTTGTTCCGCTTCTGTATTACCTGTGTTCTTCCACTCCACCCTTCAGTTCTTCTCCTTACTGTGAAGCCCAGTGAGGATTTCATTCATTAAAAAACTTCAGGATATTTCTATTAGAACCCACAATACTGATCTCTCAGAGGTTTGGAATTGAAAAGCCAGAGAACAAACCATATAGAAATAGATTAGCCAGGTCAATTAAAATAGGGGTGTGTGATGTGATGTTTGGAGAAAGGTTTTCTTGCTTCGGTGGTGCTATAATGAGAAAATCTTGCCGCAGAAGCTTATGAAGGCAGTGTGCCATCAGTGTGTATTAAGCCACTGTCTGATTTTGCAAATCTCCTGTTACATGTAGTAGAAATAAATACAAGCCCTCCAAAAGAGAATGAAAGTGGTTTTGCATAAGCTTATTTAGCAAACTGTTATGGTATTTTTTTAATGTAGTAGTAACACTATAAAATCTTCAAGATACAATCATTCTATATAGTTGGGGTGCTTAAGTAGTTAGCGTTGCATAAATAATGAAGGAAATTTTATACATTTGAGAGATGGAAGTTTGATATTGGTAACTAGTACTACAAAAAGTAGGACAAAGTTTCCCATGGTTTGTCTACAAAGAGAAGCTAACTGAAATGTGTAAGTGTCCTTCGATCCCAATTTTTGTAGTATAAAAATCCTTTGGTTTGGGAGTTCACAGTTTGCTTGGAATGAGTTCCAAGTTCAGTGACAAGCTGCCATGGGACAAGTGCAGATAGGGAGTTTAACTGGTGTAAGAGGTAGAACTTTCTTGTGTAAATTAATCGTAACCCCCTGTTTCTATGGTTGACTGTACTAACTTGCGCTTAATGTTTTTTACAGTTAAATTTTATTTCATGAGGATACCTCTATAATGATCTATGGTTCCTGAGAATCCATTCCAGATTCAGTGAAAGCTGCACTTCAAAGGTATCCTCATCAGACAATCAAAAGCAACTGAATTAGAACATAGGTAGGTAGGTGACTGTTACTTAATTTAGCTAGGCTTTTTTTTGCACTACTACTTCATATGTGCTGCACTTCACACTCAGAATTGCTGTTTCAGTGCAAAAAAAAAAAAGAAGGGGGGGGGTTTCATAATTTTTTATTTAGAAGTAAAAATGCATTCTGTTTGGATTAACCGTGAATGGTGTGACCAAACTGAAGCTTTAAGAAAATGTAGTTAACCCTGAGGTTATATTTTTGCACATAATATTCTTACTGATATGGCTGATGTAGAAAAATATTCCAACTTTTCAGAAGGAAAACATGAAAAGGCAGGCTTCTGGAAAGGCATTGACAGGTTACCTTAAAAATTCTGGATGCAAAACTACTTCCTTGGAACAGCTTTTTGTGTTTGCTTTTCCTTAACATGGCTGATGTGGCATCTTATAGCCACACATGCATTATGTTGTGTTTTACAGGAAAAAAAGGAAGATGAAAAGAGAAGTTGCTGTTTGCTGCTTAAGCTAGAACATAGGGCAGGATACCTGATAAAGGTTGTAGTTGACCAGTCAGCTCCCCTGACCTCATTTTCCTTCCTGTGGCCACCCAGCAGTTTGTCTGCACCTCAAGAGACCTGCACTTCTTTTTATGTGTTTCTAGCACATATATCTACCCTGCTAGATAGGGCTGCTTTTTTCTGCCTTCCCTGATCTGGTGGGGAATCTCTTTTACATAAGCTAGCTAGGCAGCACCTGGGGACTCCTAAGTGCTTTTAAATTATGAACCAGTGGTTCATGCTATTGCTAGGGCAAGCAATGCTTCTTGAGATGCAAAGCATGGAGAAAGGGGGAAGGGGTAACTTAGCAAATAATCTTTTTACTCTATTAATTATTGTAGTGGTTCTTGTTTGGAGGAGAGCTTGTAAAAATACCGAGGGGAAAAATGATTAAGAAACTAAGTTTTTAGGTTAGATGAGTATAGATAACTGCTGTGTGTTAGGAATGTAGGGTGCAGACACACAGTGACAGAGTGTGAAGGGGAAGAGCTCAGTGTTGTTAGTCGAGTTTTTAAAGTTACCACGTAGCATATGCTGACACGTGCATCATGAATAATTTAGGGTGTGGATGGGGAAGAGGGCAGCCAGCTGTACCTTGTGAGCCAGCTGCAGCTAACCGATAAGCTCTTCTAGAAGAGTTGTGCTAGGAGGAAGTAGCAGTAATCATAGTTCGTGGTTACAAGATTATGGGTCATTGCCGGGAAGCTGGAAGGATAAACACTGGATCAGCATCCTTGCTACTGAGAGAACACAACAAAGAAAAGAAGTCTTGAAAATGGTCCAAGTTCAGATTGCCACCAAGATGTTCACTGAGCAATGAGTGACTATTTCCAGTCATGCAGTGGCTTCCTTGTGTCAGTGTTAAGCTGTCCACAGTGAACTGTCCAAGCAGGAAATGGCAGAAGGCAGCTTAGTTGTACCCTTCTGTCCTCCAACTAAAGCTTCATGGCTGTGACCAAGTATGGAGGATTCCAAGGTGAATAATAAGGGAAAAAATGTTATTTGTCAACTTGCTAGGTACATTGAACTGCATTAAACTAAATCACCTAAATTATTTTTTTAATCAGTTTTAAGTATCTTTTTGGTGTGGCGGGAACTCCTCAGGGTGTAGTTCCAGGCCTTTAAAACTGTGTTTGTCGATATGACCACTGCTGATAAACTGCATTCAAAAAATGCTGAGAGAATCAACATACTATTGACAGACAGGTTTTCAAGATGATTCTGCATCTTAAACCTTCTAAGTGCTTAATAACCTCTTGGTGTCATGACAGCTTCCTGTGGTGAAGAAGCCCTTTTAACAGAGCACCATACTTCTGGAAATGATTGTTTGCTGAATGCTGTTTATTTTGCTAGTATGTAAAAAGTGACAAAAACTTAGGTGGCTGTTCACTCTTTAACTCAATTAAAACTTTTAAAATACTTTCAGAATATCGTAGCACTTCTGTGAAGCATTCTGTACACATGTATGCTGAACATTTATATACACAGTGTTAACTGAAGTTAACATGTAGCTTTCCTCCTTTCAGTAGATCTATACCAGTTCAGGCTAGCTAAAGATCTTGGTGCTTACTGAAACAATCTTGGAGGTTCCCAGGCAGTGGGAGCAGTGAGCTCTTTTATCTTTTAGACTCTTTCTTACAGGTTGCCATTGCCTTTGTGCTTATCTGCAGTCCTAGTGGGTAGGAACCAGAGCTCTTCCATGGAACTGTGACACTTGTAGCAGCTATCAAAGGTATAGGCAGTAATTTGAGCTCCACATTATTTGGATCCACTGAAAATTTAGCTGTAAACAAAATGAGTGTGAGTAGTATCTTAATATAGCTTGTCCCTGAAGAGGCTGGTGCCCTTCTTTCTGGAGGACTGAGCTGAGGAGACAATGTGCTTTCCAGATTTCTAAGGCTCTTTATAATGTTTTTAGCCATAGACCTGCCTGCCTGCCTTCCCTTCTTCCACTGCAAATATCAAAATACTAAAAGTCTAGTATGAAAGCAAGAAATTTGTAGTCTGGCAATACATGAGTATGACAGGACACAAGAAAATGGAATGAAGCTACTCCAGGGGAAGTTCAGATTAGGCATTAGAAAAAGGTTCTTCACCGAGAGGGTGGCTGGTTACAGGAACAGGCTCCTCAGCGAAGTGGTCACAGCACCAATCCTGTCAGAGTTGTGGGAGCATCTGGACAACACTTTTGGTCATATGGTTAAGTTTTAGTTGGCCTTGTGAGAAGCAGGGAGTTGGACTTGATGGTCCTTATGGGTCCCTTCCAGCTTGAGGTATTCTGTGATCCTTCTAGTACTTAATTCTCTTTGTTTGCTGCAGCAGTCTTTCCTTTCTGTTACAAAGAGAATTGAACACATAATGCTGTTTTGTTTGTGTTTTTTTACAGATAGGAATGTCATATTTTTAGTGCTATTCATGTACTAAGTCATTTTGGAAAGAAAAAAAAATAATAATAGAGCCCCTATTAAAGTACATCTGCCTGATGAATATGCCTGAGTCAGCTTCTGTAACTTACTCCTGAGACATTTGCTCCAATGCAGTGAGCAATGTGGCGCATGTAGCATCCTGGGCTGTGAGAGGACATAGTACCTATTATGTAGGGGGTTTGCACTGGAATTACTCAGACAAGTGAAGATTTTTTCATATGTAGAAAGGTTCTTGGCTTATGCTGTTGCATAAGCAGGGCTTTAGTTGATTCATTGGGGACTTAATTGATAAAGAATTCTGGCAATTCTTGTAGGAGCTGAAATAATCATTAATCTCTCAGGAGTGAAAAAAAGTGTCTCCTGAGTACCCACAGTTTTCAGTAGTCATTGTGAATATTCCCTGGTGCTTGCATTAGGGTCACTTTTGCAGAAATGACTGCACACCTTTTGTTCCTAGTGCTGGAGCCAGGTTACCCCCACTAAAGGTCTGAAAAACAGAGGTCCAGACCTGCCCCAGTGGTTTGTCTGGGGTGACTGAGCTAGAAAAAGACATGCAGCTCCCAGCTATTTTGGCAACTCCAACTCCATTTAAGTTTACTCATTCAATTTATCAGCTATAAATTTTTGTTGACATTCTCATAATACCTGCGTGGAAAACAGTCATTAAAACAGTAGGCTGGACGTGTTTCATATTTAGCGTAATCTGTTTGGTATGTCCTGCACTCACCTGGCAAATCACCAAGAGAAGTACAGGCTCAGTGAAGCCTCTTGAACTTCTGTCATGGGAGAAACAGTTTGTTACTTGTGATACCCGTCTTTTGAGGGATTTAATTTGGGGTGTTTAGGGACGAGTCATACATTGCATTGTGGCCACAGGTGACTATCTAGTTTTGGACCTTTAAGAAAGGTTGAACAAGGTGGTTCATAATGCGCCTGTATGTACTACTGATTTCCTGTAAGTGCCAGAGAATCAGTTTTGATTCTAGACATGTTTTAAGTAAGTTTTAAGGAGAGTTCACCGGGAGCTTGGACAGCACCACACCTAGCTTTAAGACAGTGACTTCACTGCTCATGAGAGAAGGTAAATGACAGTGGTCAGTGTTATATACTCTTACAATATATTTTACAATCCTAATCCTTACAGATTAGGGTTGTTTCAAAATTGTTTATAAATTGAAGAGAGTAAAAGCTATGGTAATTCCACCTTCTAAAGAACTTGTCTTCGAACTAAAAATATACCTATTTTTTCCTTTTCCCCCTCCATATAGTGTTTGTCTGGAGCAGTAATTTCCCTTCCACATACTTATTTTTAATTACTCATGACTGTTAGTGTTGAGTAATTTTGTTTGCTGAGTAAATCCCCTTGCAATGACCTACAGACATTACAATAATTATGAAAGAAACTTTAGGCCTACCACTTAGACTGTCATTTTGTACTTTGCTTATGATAATCTAGTACAATGTTCTCTTCTAGTGATGTATTAATAGTGTTCTCATCTAAAAGCAATGTTAATTTAATTCCTCATTTTATTTTCAACATCCTTTTTGGATGGAATTCAAGATAAATACTGAATAATGTCTGAAATGCATTCCTTCTGTCTATCCTTTACACATTCGTAGTTGGAGGGCTCCCTGGACCATATTGCCTTTGTGACAGCCCAGGGAGTAACTATTTTGCATAGCAGTTCTGTTTTGCAGTGACAGTTACGAAACAGAGGACAGGCATTACACTGAGGAGCTGTAGGGCTTTCACAGGTGTGCTGTACTGTCTTAAGGTATTTTCAGTCATAGAACACCAGTCCCTTTTGACACCAGTATTTATCCAACATGGTCTACATGGATACTGCTGCATCTGTGCAGAACTCCCCAAAGCAGATGGTCCTTTCGTTGGTCTGCATGTTTGACACATGGTGTGTGGTGGTCGTATCTGCACTGGTGTGCGGTTACCAAGAGACAGTAAGCCCCGATACAAACTGGTGCAAACACAAATGCATGTTTTGCTTCAGAGGTGGTAACCTTCAGCAGAAGAATGGTACTGGGTGGACAGGTGGGGGCAGTAATATCTTAAAGTACTGCACCCAACTCTGTAAAGACTTGTTTGTTGAAAATCTTTGCATGAACTCATTGGACATGAATTTGAAAGAGAAAACAGCCGCAGCCTGTCCCGATGATGGAGATTGCATAGCAATTGGAAACAAAAGAATTCAGGGTTAATGTGGCACAATTTGGGCAGCTTGAATGGAACTACTCTGTATTTATTCTAACAGAACCAAAGGCATGGTTTTTTCCTTCAGTTTTTTGTCTTAGTTGATAAAAAATACCCACTTGCAGTATTGTAAAGTAAGAACTGTAGTAAACTCCTAAATTTGTGACATTTCAGAAAGCAATTGAATACTGTGAATACACAGTAAAACAAAGCCACACAAATGTTGTGCTGTGTCTTAAGATTTAAAAAGATAAAGCTCCTGAATTTTTAAACATTAAAAATGTCATTTGTTTAAAAATTACCCTCAAAAAAACCCAAAAGCAAACCCTAAAACCAGGGACATGAAAATGAAACATGATTTAACTTAATTATAAGCCTTGAACGAGGAAACAGCATGTTCTAAGAATACTTAATGACAGCATTGTTGAGGGTTTTTTTTGTGTGTGTGTTGCTCCAGTCAGTCTTCAGCAGAAAGAATAAAAGGCAAAGAAAACACGGAAGTACAGTAAACATCTTGAAATGCAGTTTCCTTCTTACGGGAAGCCACCACATGACTTGCTGAAAAAGATCTTTAAGAAAACAAAACCAACCAACCAAACAAACAAACAAAAAAAAAAACAAAACAAAAAAAAAACCAACAAAAACCACAAAAAACCTAAACAAAAAATCCAAACAAAAAAACCTACCAAAAAAACCCAAACCAGCAAAAAACAAAATCCAGTTTTCAGTTGTTATTTGGTAGCATTAAAACTTAATTCTCTGAAAATCTGCTTCTTGAGAAATAATATCCTATACGATGCCTCAAGCAGCACCTTATCCTGACAGATAAGGACAGAAACAAACAAGGATCTTGACTATTAGTGTACAATGATTTTGTAGTCTGAACTATAAAAGGTGAGAATATTATTCATTTTGACTGTATTCTGCAACATGCAAAGCCAGTTCAGGTAACTCAAATCTACAATGACAAATCTTTCTTGCCAATCCCATTAAAAGATAGCTGGGAGTTGAACTGAAATGGGACCTGCATTTCAGTCAATATATTGAATGTGGGTTACTCAGTCTTAAAAATACACACAGAGGAACTGTTCCAACAGCTAAATTTCTGCACAGGCTTCTGCTGTCACGCAGTATGGGTCCCAGCCATCCCTTTTTGAAGTTGGCAGCAGAATTTTTTCATAGCAACAAAAAGATGATCAGCTGCTGATTCTCCTCTTGGACCAGTGTTTCTCAGAAATGTGACCCCTGTGCTCTCAGGGGACAAAAAATCACCTGTGGTTACATCATGTACTTTTGATTTGTGTGGCAGATGAATGGAAGGACTGGCACTTTTGTGTTGTATTG